ATATATATATATATATATATATATATATATATATATATATATATATATATATATATATATATATATATATATATGCATAAAATAAATGCTACACACACATACAGAGTAAATGCTAATTCACTGTTGTCAAATCATCTGTTATAAATATGGGAGTTTTTCAGCAAGCGACAAGCGACACAAGTCGACACAAATATCGTTCTTTCTTTTTTTGGCAATGAGTAACAAAGATAAAACAATACTTGCGTCGACTTGTGTCGCTTGCTGCAGAGTTTCCTCCAGTTTCTTGGTTGATTTCTTGTTTAGATTATTCTTCTTTATATTTTTTTATTGATATAAATACTCAACAAGATTGTATGAATTACTTAGGTTTATTACTGTTCTCACACACACGTAGCTGGATAGGCAAGAGAGTCGCTAATAGCTGTAAGTTTGGAATAGACAGTCGAGATAGTATACCGATCGACAAGACGCTTATCAATAATAATACTTCTGAGAGAATGGCTTTACCGAGTAGAGCACGTGTCTACGCCGATGTAAATTCACATAAACCAAGAGAATACTGGGATTATGAATCTTACGTTGTGGATTGGGGGTAAGACTTATCGCAACCAAGTGTGTCAATGATATCGCTGCCATTATAATATATAATTTTATTTACTTTTCCATGTATATTTCTTGATGTAGGCAACAAGATGATTATCAGTTAGTGAGAAAATTGGGCAGGGGTAAATATAGCGAAGTATTCGAGGCCATAAATGTTACAAACAATGAAAATTGTGTTGTAAAAATATTGAAGGTAGGATAATTATGTTATATATCATAAATATTTGCTGAAGCAGCGGAATGTAATAATTTATAATATTATTGTTAATAATAATTTTTTATTTGTTATAGCCTGTTAAAAAGAAGAAAATAAAAAGGGAAATAAAAATTTTAGAAAACCTTAAAGGTGGGACCAACATAATTACACTCCAAGCAGTTGTCAAAGATCCAGTTTCAAGGACACCGGCACTGATTTTTGAACATGTCAACAATACAGATTTCAAGCAATTATACCAGACGTTAACTGACTACGACATAAGATACTACCTCTACGAATTATTAAAAGTGCGTGTATTGTTAAGTGCAATGAAGTGAACAAAATATCAGTTGATGGTGAACATCGAGATTATTGTTTTGATAGATGTAGGTGTATATCATGAGTCCGAGAAAGAGTTAAAAGATATTGAATTAATATATTTATTTTTTTTATTAATGTCAAGGACATGGGACGGTTAGTACTTTAGTTTTGCTTTATGCAGTAACCATCGCATAAACTATAAAGCATCCATGTATTTATGCATCCATGCAAGATGTCGCAATCTTGGATCAAGACAAAATTATTACACGTGTTCTATTTTTAAACAGATTATTTCTTTATAGACTTTGATTGGTCTATGGTTTTTGTACGATTTTGTTTTACCTTTTCTTCCTTATTTGTAATTTATCAATATTAATTACATTACTTTATCTTACAAAAAAACTTTAATATTGATAGCTTACAATTTATAATTAATTTATGTATAAATTGACATTTATATAAATATCTAATAGTCTTACATTTATCTTAGCCATTTTTATTACAATTTAGAAAAGCTTTAAAAATACATGTAAAAATACATGTGAAATTTTACACAAAGGTGAAACGTGTAAAAAAAATTTTTTATCATCCTTCTAAGAATTCATCAATAATTTTTTTTTGAATTTTGGACTTATGAATATCTGTTGTAAGCAATGTATTGAAATAGCATGACTAATGCATTATTTAATTGGACATGGAGACGAGAATATTGTAATGTTTAATAATTGTTTCCGTTTTGTTCTCGCACAGGCACTAGATTATTGTCACAGTATGGGAATTATGCATAGGGATGTGAAACCGCACAATGTTATGATAGACCATGAAAATCGAAAATTACGATTGATTGATTGGGGATTAGCAGAGTTTTACCATCCTGGTCAAGAATACAATGTACGAGTAGCTTCTCGCTATTTTAAAGGCCCGGAATTACTCGTAGATTATCAAGTAGGTATTTTGCAACATCAAAGTGTAATGGAATGAAGGCGAAGGAATTGGGAGACGGAAAGAAAGAAAAAGTAGTGGGATAATAATAATTCTAGTTATGTTAATGTGAAAATTGCCGTTAAAAACATATGCGCGCGCGCGTACGTACGTACACACACACACACACACACACATATGCAGTGTTCAATTGATGTATATCATAAGAGAAATCGCATATTCTACATGAAAAAACTCGGTCGAAAAATCCTTTACAATTTTTAGATATCTTTAATATTAAGCAATTTCTCAAATCAAGCATCCTTAAATGAGATGCATGTCTGCATATTCCGTAAATGAGGAAGGCATTGTCTTAAGGAAGGCATTTCAAGACTGAACACTTATATACAGCTTCAAAGCCAAAAGAACACTACTTAAAATGTCTTAATAAACTCTGATATAAAAACTAAATTTTGTTATGTTTACTTTGCTTATTGAAGCAAACTTGAGTACACAGGCATGGGGCAAGTAGGAAATCTGCTGTTGTGCCCTTGACCTAACTATGAAGCTCGCGGCACGTAAACCGCAGCTTTTGATTTGAGAAACTATTCAAACTTTAACTTCAATATCTTGCTTAATATTAAAGATCCAAAAACTATAAAAAACTTTTCGACTGAGTTTTTTAAATGTAAAATATGCGATTTTTTTTATGATATACATTAATTGAACACCCTGTATACACATACATACATACATATATAAGCATACATGTATTTCTGTAAAATGTAAATCTTTTATATATAAAAGCTAATGAGAGAAATATCTTGATGTCTTGCAGATGTACGATTACTCATTAGATATGTGGTCATTGGGTTGCATGCTCGCTAGTATGATATTCAGGAAAGAACCGTTTTTTCATGGACATGACAACTATGATCAACTAGTTCGAATCGCAAAAGTTCTTGGAACTGAAGAACTGTTCGAGTATCTTGACAAGTATCATATTGAACTAGATCCTCGTTTCAATGACATTTTAGGCCGACATTCGCGTAAGCGTTGGGAACGCTTTGTGCATTCGGAGAATCAACATTTAGTATCCCCAGATAGTTTGGATTTTCTTGACAAACTCTTGCGCTATGATCATTACGAGAGATTAACTGCACGTGAAGCAATGGAACATCCTTATTTTTGTAAGCATACATCTACGCCAATCTACAGGATACATTTTTAAATACTTTTTGGAATATTTGTCTGCCTTTGCAGTATCTTACGATATATTTAAAAGTATACAAGAAAAAGGAAATTATATTAATACAATACACATTTATTATTGTACATGGTCTATTTATATCTCGTTGAGTATGATATTGCATTGAATATTCTCTCTATGTACATACGTGTAAACGTGTGTACTTGTCTAATTATACTTTCTTCTATTTCAGATCCCATAGTAAAAGAACAGGGTCGTTTGACTATGGTGTCATCATCACCTACTCCCATGGCAGGCTCAGTGCCTGTAGGTGAGTAGCGGCCCAGGTAATGTCACCACCTTAACCTACCTCTAACTCTATACTAATTGACATAATTATAACATAGTTAACTTATATATTACAAATTTAATATTGTAAAATATGTTTTTTTATTTCATCGAAATATGCGTTCTTAAATATGTATCTTTTTTCTAAAATTGTTATGCTCAATATTTTATATCTATCATTATGATTAGACTTAATAATAATATAACAAACAAAATAAAACGAATACGTTCGCATATATAAATTTTTATGCCTGAAACCATGTGCAGGGATGTAGTCGCGAATGTTTGCATTCTACATTGGAATATAATCTGTATTTAAGTAAGATAAAAGAAATGTAAGTTGTAAATACATTACAAATAGAAAATATTGATTATACATATATATATATTAATAAACAGTATATATATATATACTGTTTATTTGTTATACTAACTAATTTTATACGCTAATTATTGACCAAATGTATGTGATATTTGAATGATAACTATATACGGTACCGGCCAAAAGTTTGGACGCACTGGAAATAAATGTAAAAAGTTGAGATTAACTGACAAAATAAAAAATGATTATGACATTGTTTTAAAAATGCTTCTAAGTTGTGTCGAAGATATGTGGAAAAACTCGAAAATTTTCGCAATGTGACGTGGCCTTCTCAATCACCGAATTTGAGTCCTATTGAATTATTATAGGATGAACTGGATCGACGCATAAAAGAAGTTAATCCCAAAAATAAAAAACAGTTTTTCGAAGCACTACAAACGGCTTGGAAAGAGATTTCAGGTGAAACACTCTTGAAACTTCTTAATAGAATGCTAAAAATTTGCGCAGTTATGAAGGCTACGTAGCCTCTAGAAAAACTTGTGGAGGCTACATAGACGCGAAAACAGGAAAGTAAAAGTTATGTGATATTTCTTATTGATATGAATACTAAAGTATATTTTGTATTTCAATGAATCGTTTTTGTCAAATAACGTCATAATCATTTATTTTGTCAATTAATCTCGACTTCTCTTGCATTACTCCCGGTGCATCCAAATTTTGGTACTGTATATCCAAGTACGCGGTAATAATGTTTAAAAAGCAATTATATAATATCACATTCTGGCGCATTCTGTACTCGTGCAAGTCTTCCAACTCCCGTTTATCATGCCGCCGCGTTTGACATCCCCTCTAACGAATTTAAAGATAATTTTTGGCAATTATTTGAAAATATTAAGCTAGTCAAGAAATGCTGAAATGTTGAAATAGAAAATACAGTTTATATAAACTGTACCGATAATATATAAACGGATACCTTTTAAAACGAACGGTTTATTCTCATTTGCCTTGAAATTAAGCGAGATAATAGACGTGAGATATATTCGTGCGTAAATTGCGCAACATATTGATACAATAAAAGGTTTCGTGTCAAAGAGATTTTTTAACTAGCAGATTATTACAGATCATCGTGGCGTAACAATGAGCAGCGTACCGGTTCGTGGGACAAACGGATTGGAAAGCATGGAAGAAATTGGAAGTGGGTGTTTGACACTTTCAGAAGAACTGCCTCAACTCTTATAAATTCAACAATTCTGAACAGCAATTCTCAACCGAGTCCCAATCCACTACAGAATATAATGATACAACAGCAGATATTTCGTATCGCCAAGTACATTCTTCTCTGCACGAAAATCATTCTGGTTTGTAGCAACGGCTTCATCAATCCCATCGTTAAGACTGAAGTATCTCATTTTACTGTGTTTCCTTTAAAAACATACAATTATTCAAAATTTGCGACGTACTTAGAGAATCACGGGAGATTAGGGTTCTGGCGTAAAATTTATCGCGTAAAGATACATGCTCCGTCCATATTGGCCGGTGTGCATGCGATGTCGGAATCGGAGGTAGCGCATTACAATCTGCGATGCACTTTTCTATATCTACTATTTTTTCTGATGTTACTACCATGTTTTTGGCAGATCTGTAAATGCATAGAGATGCAGCTAGATTCATTTTTATTCGAAAGATGATTACTCGTGGTTACATAATACGCGCAGTGGCGGAGACTTTAAACAACCACCCTTATTCGCATTCACATACACGGTACACTCGTACACAACGGACACGCAACAAACATATATACAATTACATTTACCTTAGACCATTCGGTTTAGTACTTTTAACAATAATAAAAATGTTCGTTTATATCTGATGCAACAATAGTTGAATAAAATGTTTGTTATAGCCAAGTACACTCTTTGTGCTTTGTGAATCCTGCTCTGTGCATCCAGCGATATCTTCCGCCGTTATTAATCGACGAAAATATAAAAAAATCAATCTAGAGGCATGACCAGGCATGACATAAAATAAATTTGTATAACAGATTTGTATAATTGTTCTGTGATTTTTATCTGAGAGGAATTGATATGAATAGAAGCAGGTTGCGGTAAATTCCGTTTGTTACCGCACGCAAATTCACAAGCACCTCAAAGCAACAACCTCAAAGCAACTTGGCACAAAGCCTACAAACATCGACACACACACACACACACACACACACACACACACACACATGCACACATAAGGGTGTATATGAATACCTGTTACAAACTTCTAAGGTATGTAGGGTTCAAAGTAGATTAACTTTTAATAAGGAAACGCGCGTGTCCGGAAACGCACCGTTTGCGAGCAGACTAGAACTGTTGGTATGTTCAGTAATAAAAATCATTCTCATAATAATTTTATTTGCTTACATCACATTACAAAAATGTTTAGCAACATTGTCAAAACAGATGACAATAAATGCTCATAGTTGACGACCGTCATTGCACCATGCACCTTGCACTTGCGAAACATGTTCTGGTACACTATTTCAAAAATGTCATCAATTATTTGGGGACAGATGGATTGTAGCTATCTGTTTTCACATTGCTAAACATTTTTGTAATGTAATGTAAGCAAATAAAGTTATTATGAGAATTATTCCTATTATTGAACATACCAACAGTTCCAGTCTGCAGCTCACAAACGGTGCGTTTCCGGACATGAGTTCTTTATTAACCCTTAAATGCCACACCTCTCAAGAATCTCGTAAATGACACATGGGGTCTAAAAGACCCCAGCATGAAAAATGTCTCCTTACTCATTGATTTTTTGATATTTAGTTATGAAAATGATTTTCAATGTTGTTCAAGGCTTAGAAAAGAGAATAAAATGCTTATATTGTTAAACGTTCACGTTCAACATAGTATAAAAAATTAAGTAAACTGAGTACTGCTAAGCGTACAACCGGGTAGGTCACGCACTCAACTATCATCAATGAGAGCATGAGCTCCATTTTTGGGGGGAACATTTGAAAATATATCATTGTAAAGGGTCTGGGGTCCGCTGGACCCCCGGGTGGCATTTAAGGGTTAAAAGTTGCGTCTACTTTGAACCCCCCTACCTACCCCAGAAATTTGTAATAGGTATTCATATACACCCTGTATGTATGTGTATATACATATATATAAAACATACTATACTTTAAAACAAAATATATATGTATATTTGTAAACTCGATCTCTGTGCGCTGATCAATCTTACGCCAATAATTTACACCATAAAAAGATTTACTTTCCGTGGTTATATACAATTGCCAGTATCTTTGTTATGCATTGAACACGTGAATTATTCTATATAAATATGTAAGGTCGATTCACTAATGTACATTCGAGAGGATTTGTACATCAAGATAAGACATACTTGTAAAGAATGTATAGGAATACAATACGCTCCATTCTCTTGTATACTGTATCTTTTTATATAATTTTCCAAGGATTTGTCAGTTCCTATGTGAATATGAATGATGCATTAAGAAAAAAATTAATCGATCATCATTTGTATTTTCGTGTATTAACGCAATGCATATTGGTATTAAGCGGAATGATGGAAAATTAGTGAGCGTGTGAAAACGCTTTACTTTACTAGTTAAATAATAATATTTACTTCTCAATCTGAGTATGTGCCGTTTTTGCCCAATTGCTTAATCTAATCTAACCACACACAGCACGCACGCGACACACATACACTACATACATACCACATAAACGCATATAAATTCTTATACACATATAGAAGATGTAATAATATACAGAGGAATGTAATATATATATATATATATATATATATATATATATATACACGCGTAAAAGTATACGTAAAATATCTAAAAGGAATGAGATTGTTTATCTATGAATAGTTATATATAAATATTTTTTATTTATTCAATTTTCTGTCACATTATTAAATAGTATTACTTGTATGCGTGACAGAGAATGTTTAATTGAAAATTCCTTTTACGTGGCAAGAACGGCGCACATACGTACTTGTTTATTCAAGTTTTATACTACTTGTTCATACGTTAGAGAATTTATAATAATCTAGTTTTTAGTATAATGGAAAAGGAATATGGAATAATGATTATCAAAATAAGCAAATTAACTTGGGAACGAATATAATAATTAATTGTCGCTAATAGAAATAATACATTGCGCTAAGTTTTGGCTATGATATATCTTTTTTTGCATCATGATATGCGACTTGTTTCGAAAGAGACACGATGCATAAATGCGTTTAAGATACTTTATCTTCCCAACCCTGCTTAAAGGTTAATGTTTTGAACAAATCACTTCCTATCTCTCTTCTCTTTCTGAATCTCTCCGCTTTTCATCCTTCTCTTCCTCTTACTCTCCTCCTCTTCTCTTTTCCTAATTTATTTCATTTTCTCTTTCCTTTCTTCTTTGTTTTATCTACGCTTCCCCCTCTTCTCCTTATTTTTTTGTTCCTATCTTCTTTTTCTCTCTTCTGTTTGTCTCCTCATTCTTTTCTCCTTTCTTATTTCCTACCTCCCGCAATAGAAAAGATTTATAAGATTATATGATGAACGGTGGTATATATATCGGTGTTTGTTAGAGTGATTTTGCTTCTAAATGTCGAAATAATTGAACAAAAATTTAAATTTGAAGTTTAATTTCTCAATTTTTTTGCAAATATGGCTGTGTTCCTAAATTCATTGCTAGCGCAGAAAGTCTATAGTATACGTAACGTGTACTATAGTTTTCCAGCGCTGAAAATGAATTTAAGAACACAGCCTTTAATTCATTCAGAAATTTCAGGCAAGAACGCTGCGTTATGAGGATTTGATTCATCTTATTGTTAGCGCAATAATTGTGCAATTCCTCTCAATTGAATGATGCAATTATTCATTGTACAATATTTGCGCAATTATCTTGGGCTGTTCTCCGCTACTTTCTTTTCCTTTTCTCTTACTTTTTATTCTCCTTATTTTCCTTTTTTCCTTTTTCTCTTCTCTCCACTTTTTTTCTTTCGCGCTTTTATTTTTCATCCTTCTTACACCTTTTACTTTTCTTTCTCCTGCATTACTCCCTTTCTTACCTAATTATAGATAGAATATTAATAAAATTAAGCAAATAAGCGTTCTATTACTTTTTATTTCATTTGTTTGCAAATAAATATCTTTAGTACATTCTGCGTAACTGCGTAACGTTGACAACATCGATCAAAATATGGTCACACACTTTTTCTGCACAAATTAATATATATACTATCATGACACAGGCATGATTAAGGTACGACAATAAAATTTGCCAAAGTGCGCGGAATTGCATTAATTTAAATTAAATGATACTGCAAGGCATGAAAGTAAGCGCGGTGTTCAATATTTTTGCGATAGCTACGAGTCAAAAGTTGTAGCTTATAAATTAGTAATATCCAAACTGTTTTTCCTGTAAAATATTAAATACTTGTCTATATGCATGGTATAACGATAATGTTATGTAATACTGCCTGCTATGAATAGGGAAAAATTGCAAAACTAAAATAACGTTGCGATATAAAATTAAAGATTAATACAAATACAATTTCGTTCCATAACGAACGTTAATGCCTTCATTTTTTAAATAATTTGCTCGTGCAATAGCATGTTTTATTATTATTATTATTATTATTATTTATTTATTTAAAGGATATGATCAATTATAAAGGATTAATGGCTCCCGCATACAGAACGGGTAGGAACAACGCTTGCTGCGCGATAAGACCGGTTCTACATTGGTCGTATCGTGTAGCGTCGCAAGTCGTAACTCGTAAGAAATTGCAGGCCAATCACAGTCGATTATTCTCCTCAAATTCGATTAATACCGACTTTAGGCTGATATTTCATGTATGACGCCAACGAGGATAGAGAAGTTCTCGAGTTCCTAGAAATCCTCTATCTTGTAGCCAATCGGTATGCTTGACAAAGCTTGTCGTACGAGCGTGCGACACATGAAATATCAGCCTTAAAATTGTGTATTTGTATATATGTATATTGTATTTGTATATATGTATCTGGTGACGGTGAGGTCGGTGAGCTGTCAGCCACTGTCAGCTGTCACCAACTGTCATAAGTAGCGATCTGTCTCTTTTGCAGAATTTATTTCAGTTAAATTTGAATTAGTTTTTTCTAAATTAAAATATGAACGAAATAGAAAATTTGCGACAGAGAATCAGAGAACTTGAAAACGAGTTGCGAGAAAAGAAAGATAGAGATAGAGCGACGGTAACGAGGGGAAGAATCGAACATATGTCAGATGAAGTGGTGGATTCGAATCCGTATAGGTAAATACGGATTTTCAATAATAATTCTCGATATTTTTCATCACTCACATTACTTTAGTATATGTAAAAGATACACAGATTTCCAAGTCTTGTAAATTTGCAATTTTGCCTACTTTCCAATATCTTCCAGCCGATTGATGGCACTGAAGCGTATGGGTATCGTTGAAAATTATGAGAAAATACGAGAATTAACGATAGCTATAGTTGGAATTGGTGGTGTTGGTAGCGTAACAGCAGAAATGCTGACAAGATGCGGTATTGGAAAGGTAGGAATATGATAATACCATGTACTATACCATATACTATATATCGCATGCTAAGGAATCACGGTTCGACATGTTTTATTACATGTTTCAGTTGATACTGTTTGATTACGATAGCGTAGAACTTGCAAATATGAACAGGTTATTTTTTCAACCGTATCAAGCAGGTCAGAGCAAAGTGGAAGCAGCAGCAAATACTTTGCGTTATATAAATCCTGACGTGGAAATTGAAATACGCAATTATAACATCACAGCTGTCGATTATTTTCAAGATTTTATGAATACAATAAGGTATAAATTTATAAATATCTATTTAATATCTCTTTAATATCTGAAATGGAATGATATTTTGTTTTACAACTATAGATTTTTATGTTGAACACTATTTAAAATTGACATACGTTTTAGCTTTTAGTTCATTAAAATTCATATATTTTTGCAGTAATTCCAGTTTGAAAAATGGCCCAGTTGACTTGGTATTGAGCTGTGTCGACAATTTTGAAGCTCGCATGGCAATTAACACTGCGTGTAACGAACTTAACGAGAAATGGTTTGAAAGTGGTGTATCTGAAAATGCAGTGTCCGGCCACATTCAGTTTATTGTGCCTGGTGAAACGGCCTGCTTTGCAGTAAGATTTATTTTAAGTAATATAATGATTTTTCCATGGAATTAACTAAACGTATATTAGGAAAAATATTTCAAATTTTTACATGTTACAAACAAGTTTTACAGTTTCAAGATGCAAACAACAAATGTTTTATACAATGCTTTGTGACAGTAGCATCATCAGTATTTTTTTAGAAATCGTATCATATATATAACTTTTATACATAATTTCCTGTTTTCTTAATTTTGCATAAAAATATTAAGATAAAGTTATCCAAAAATCAGTAGTTAATAAGATATTTTATTTTGACGTAAACTACGAAATATATTATTCATATTTTGATTACTTTACTTTAATAACTTTTGTGTACAAAACAATGAGATGAATCAATTGTAAAGAAAATACAGTTGCTTTTAAAAAGAAAAGTATATAATTGCAAATTGTATGTTTAAAGAAATTATATGCTTATCTCAAGTAATTGCTAGGTAGTTTTCTTTACGATTGATTTATCTTATTATTCTGCGCATAAAAGATTGAGATAAAAACATAAAAAAATGAATATTTTATGAGAATAAAACTTTTTAGAAAATATTTAGCTCAGTAGAAAAATCTGTGTATTATTTAAAACAATCATCTTATTAAAAATTGATCATCATTTTCTTTTTTTTAAATTCTATCATTATTTTATAGAATTTATTCGCTAATCATTTTATTGCGCTGTATTTGAATTTTCAGTGTGCTCCACCTTTGATCGTAGCATCTAGCATCGATGAAAAAACGTTGAAACGCGAAGGAGTATGCGCTGCATCATTACCTACCACGATGGGTATTGTAGCAGGCTTTTTGGTGCAGAACGCTTTAAAGTTCTTACTAAAATTTGGAAAAGTGTCTCATTACTTAGGTTACAATGCTATGGAAGATTTTTTCCCTACTATGACTTTGAAGCCAAATCCAAATTGTGATGATGCACATTGTAAGCAAAGGCAAAAAGAATATTTGGCCTTACCAAAAATCCAACAAAAACAAACTATCGTTATCGAAGAGAAACCCGTACACGAAGATAATGAATGGGGTATGTATAAGCGAATAGTTACAATCTCTACTTGAAATACCTTATTTATATCCTCACATATTACTCTTAACTAAATATTATTTTTCTTGCTAGGAATATCCTTGGTCGATGAACGTAGTGGTCACTCAGATGAAAAAACACATATGTCATCAACTCCAGGTGTGCGACATGCATATACGGTATCAACGCCCACATATGGAAACAATTCGGAAGAAGAACAAACTGTTCCTGAATCCACAGGATTAAGTTTAGAAGAATTAATGGCAGAAATGAAATCAATTTGAAAATAATTCAATGTAGATATAATGCCGCATTTCATATTTAAAAAAATTTTCATCTATTCTTTTACACAATATCATATGTATTATAAGTTGTACTTTACCACAGAAGTAATTTTTGAATAACAGCGCAATATTTTACGTAACTGTAGCAGTTTAATATGGTTAATAAAAAGATGAATTATGGAAAACGCACATAGCGTAATATTATTTAATTTCTATAATTTGATATTGAAGCTAAAAAATTTTTTTTTTTTTTTTTTTTTTTTTTTTTTTTAACATTTATATTTTTAGACATTGATTAATAGTATACAATAGCAAATTTTTTTATTTTAAGATATTGCATAACAAAAGCAAAAGTGTTATACGTCAAATTTTTCAAAACATACAGATGGTCCCTCTTCTTCATACTCTTCCCTCGTTACCAAAAGATTAGGAAATATTGAGTCTTGTGAAAGTTGTTTTCCGCCATACCACGCGTAAGTAATTGGACTGGAAAAGTAGAACAAAATTATCTCATTAGGTTTTTTTTTTTTACAAAATATGATGTAGCAAATGGAACATTAATGTAATACTTTTGTGGCAAGTAGACGTTCACAGGGTATTCGGCTGGAGCTAAACTTCTAACTTCTTTGTAGACTCTGTCTTTAAATCCTGGAAACTTTGCGTTACCACCAGTAAGAATAATATTGGATAGAAAATGAGGCCACGTTTCTTCGCTGCAAGCCTTTATAGAATCCATAATAGCTTCTGGGATACCCATTTGTCGAATGCCAACATCCGATGGATGAAATAATATTTCTGGTATCGTAAATCTCTCATTAGTCAAACGTAAAATTTGTTGCTCGTTCGATGGCTCTGGATCCTTGAGGTATCCACGTCGTAGAGTTGTATAATCTGGCAAAACATAATCCTTAACGATGGTATTATTTTCCAATTTATATTTGGCTTGTTCCATATCTTTAAAGAAATCTTGGGATACGAAACAACAATCCTCTTTCACTTGATTAATTACATATGTTTCATCCATAACGTGCAGCTGACGATAAGATATTATCTCTTTCAGGTGATTTGTTAAAAGTTTGCCACCCACATCTATTCTTCGTATTCCTTCTTTTATCTTGGCATCATTAACATAAGGGATAATGTACGTAAAACTGTAACCACTGTCCACTACTATACAGCATTTTGTAGTAGGATACTCTGCTCTATAATTATAACATGAAAGACTTGCTGCGTTTATCCTTAGAAGACTGTGACATTCGTATTCCTCGAAAAAGATCTCTGTCATGGCTTCTTGAATACTTGGGAAGTTAAATAAAGGTTCGGTCACTACTACAGACAGCTGATTTAAGTTAACCGAACAAGACTCTTTTGAGAATATATAATCCCATACTGTTTTCTGTATATCCCAATTCACTAGATAACCTTTTTCGAAGGGTAAGATATAAAATAGCCCAGAAGCATCCCTGCATTCTTCAATTTGGTTTCCTATGAAAGGTCTGCGACGTTCGCTCTTTGCTTTCATTATGCAATTTGGAACTAGTCTGAAATATTTTCATGGATTAAGGAAATAAACACATTATTGCTGAATGTACAAATTTGCTTTAACTTGGCATACTTACTTGGATATCTCGCTGGCTAAACCAACTTTTGCCGTGCAGGCACCGTTATCAATAATGAAAGTAGAATTAGTCATGTTTAAAAAAAAAAAATGGCAAATCAAATTTTAAAAACAATTATGTCAAGCTCTCAAGCAGTCAAGCTCTTCACTCTTTTTTCACAACAAAGACTAGAGTGACGCTTGAGGCTTGAGGAGCATCCCATTTGACCACGGTGCCGTGCGATTGATTAGAGCCACTCACAGCCCCCAGTGGCGCCCAGTGCCTGGAGTTTTTCCATTGGACCACCCAATCAGATATTTTTATTTTAAATCAGCCAATTGATGACGTGGTCAATCGCCCTAAACTGCTTTGCTTTCGAAATACATGTGGTGTCAAAGGCTGCGGTCCACTTGACGCTATAAATGCTTCGAAGGATTCCTCTTCTCTTTTCTTTCAATGAAGAAAGAAGGAGAAGAAGAACGCAGCCAAAGACGCACGCTAAATAGTTTTTAAAATTTGAATAAAATATTTTTAAGTGTTTTCCAAATTTTCGAAATTTTTATTTCTTTTTTTTTTCACAACTTTGATACCCTGTATTTTGAAAATAAAGCAGTTTAGGGCATATGTAGAATCTTTTCTTTCTAAAATAAGTCATGAAATATCTCCTTCAAATTTTTTTAGGAAACACTCAAACACCAAAGAGTAAAGCGAAACAAGAGGGAATAATACATATATTGGTAGTGACCCAGAGTAAGCTTCTAAAAAATATTATTTCGTAATATAATTTTTTATAATCCCAGGTAGCAAAGTGACGTCAAATGACGTCTTAATGACGTCAATAAGACGTCTTTAGACGTCATCTTTGCTACTTGGGATGTTGTTAAAACATTTTTAAAACATTACACGACATATTTTTAAAATTTAAATATTATTACTTTAACAGTGTCAGTGAAGTCAGTGAAACAGTTCAAAATTGCTTATAAATTGAACTTAGAAATAACGTTGGTAAAGGGCTCCGCACGAGAATTTCTCCGTACTATCCGTAAACGTAAACTTGCTTTTTTTAATTCATTTGCAAGAAAAACACATGCGTAAACATTCATACATTCTGCTCTTACAGAAAAGTTGTAAGTCAGTTTTGGCTGTCACATGGCTTTTAACTTTAACCAGTCAACTTGCAACGTTTCTGTAAAGGTGCCAATTCATGGGACGCTGAAAAACAGCGTTGAGCGTCGTCACGTGACATCACTATGATGCCAGCGTCAAGAAAGAGAAGTTGGATTTTTCCAACTTCAAGCGTCAAAGCCAAAGCAGCGCGAAGACGCCGAAATTTTGACGCTGTTTCCCTTTTCATGAATTTCAATTGACGCCGGCGTCAATTGTGGTCATGCGACCTTCTTGCCGCTGAAAATGAGCGTCGAGCGTCAGCATGAAAAGGCACCTTTAAGTGTCGTAGCGTCATCTTGGGATCTGAAGCTCATGGATACGGATTTCTTCGTGTGTTCTAAAGTTTACGTTTACGGAAGTTGTTATGCGAAGGCTCTTATACCTATCTACGAAAAGTGACACGATAATTACTAGATACCTAGTAAAATGATAATATAAGGTCAAATGGAGTTTTCCAGTTTTATTTACAAACTTATTTATTAATTTATGATACATGCATTTTAATTTATTGTAATTTTTATCTTATATAGGAATAGGTAATTCTTTTGCAACTAATACCAAGATCTGATCTACACTGAGACACCAATTTGCTATATTTTTGGAAACTTTGCACCAATGTTCGCCGTGATGAGGTTCTGCAGCGATACATCTTTTCTTTACATCTTCTTGTTGCTCTTCCGTACCATTCAGTAATTCAAATTTGTAAAAATATGCCCATGCATCTCCTAAATCAGGATCTATTTTCACCGTCCTGTTGAACCAATCTCTACACTTTGAAATCTTATGTTCGCACCAAAATAATCTGAAAAATGTGTACAATATTCGCATTATTTCACAAAGAGAGAGAAAGAGGGGGAGAACTAAACTATTTAAAATATAAAAATACTCAACTATTCTAAGTAAACTTTGAACGAAAACTTACTTCGATACCGCCAGAAGAACGTGTGGATCATGTTCGCATTTTTTAGTGGCATCAATACTTTTAGTTTTTCGTTGAGGTCGCGGTTCCATAAAAATTGCCTCTGCATAAAGTAGACCGGATGTAGGACATTCTTGTAATGCCTTAGCCATTAGTGTATTGGCCATGTCGCGCGCGCCACCGTTTCTTAATTCATTCCGTATAGCTTCCAGCCATAATTCTGCATTTTTAGGATTCTTAAGTCTCGCTTTCTCCAAAACTGAACGCGCTTTAGTTACTTGGTTTTTCTTGTGCTCCAATCGCGCCAGCAGACACCACAATGGTATCGAATTTGGACATTTTTTTATCTGATCATAATAAAACGTATGAAAGTAAATATAACATTTCTTTGTATAACATTTCTTGCATTATTAAATTAGAGAAAAGTCACTTACCGCTTGATTATACGTTTCTATCGCTTTGTCTAAATGACCCTGCTGTTCCTCAATTTGACCTTTCATTAACCATAATTTAGGAAAGTCGTCAAAGGCTTCTAGAGCTTCCTTCAATAGATGCAACGCTGCGTCAAGATTATTAAGAGCCCATTCCAATTTCGCGCTTTTCATCATCACTCTGGGCGTCGGTGCGGATGCTCTGGCTTTTGCCAATAAACGTCGCGCTCTCTCATATTCTGAGTTTTCAGATTCAAGCTTCACTGCCGCCAGCCAAATCTCTTCGGAATTTGGATTAGCTTGAAACGCGAGAGATAAAATACCTCTAGCTGCTGGTACATCACCCTGAGGAAAAAATGAAATTGGAGATAAGAAACGATGATTAAAAGAATTAAATAAAATGGAATTAATGATAATTGTGTACATGATTACATGATGAATCTACTTACAGCCAGCCATTTTGATTTAGCACCCATCAGCCAAAGCACTTCGCTCTTGGGACAATGAGCAACTGCTCTTTGTAATAAAGTTTCCAAGGATTCTCGCGTGCCATATGTCTTTTCGAAATAAGCGGCGCGCAACCAAATTGATTTTTTACTGGGAAATGCCGTTAACGCATACGCATAGACAGCTCTGGCGCACTCCAAGGCTCCTTGTTGGGCGCACTGCAACCAATATATATCTCTCAGCATGGGTATTAATTTTCGTGCATTTATATCGTGCGTTCGTATTACATAGAAAATTACAAAGAGAAAATTACTTACAGTCTCCGCATCTTCCATCCAAGTGTGTTTCCGGTCTTCCTCTTCTACGCCAAAACCAATAATGGCTTTAACGATAACTTGACAACAGTGTACCGCTCCTGCTTTTTCAGCTTCCATAGCTTCCTTGAACCAATGTTCTCTGTTGATCTCTACCCCATTCACGCTCAACGAGGATATAGCACGTTCGATGATCTTCTCCACCATGTGTTTGTTGCCATTTGCTTCCTCCAATTTGGCAGCGGTAGTCCAAATTTGTCGATCAGTTGGGATATTCTCTCTGGCTTTGTTCAAGACTTTTCTCGCGTTATCGTAAGTCTCCAATCTAGCAAGAGCGAGCCACAAGTCCACGCTCGTCGGACAGCACTCAACCGCACGACTGAGCAAGATGCGCGCGTCCTCGGGCTCTTCCAACTCAACGGCCGCTTTCCATAAACGCACCGAATTTGGGATATGTTCCAGCGCCTTTCGGTATACCCGGCGCTTCGCTTTCACTTCTATCTCCAAGTCCGCGGCCTTTATCCAAATTCTGACAGACGTTGGAATGTGACGTACCGATTGTGCTATCACTGCTTTCGCCGTGTCTGGCGGTTGCAGTCTCGCAGCTTCCAACCACAGATCCTCAGAAGTGTTGTTTACCTCGCATCCCTTCATTATTAAGTTTCTCGCTGCTTGAACCTTTCCAGTCACCTCTTCTAGACGCGCAGACGCGATCCATGCAGGAGGATGATTAGGGTTAGTCTCCCGTACGGATTTTAACAATAATCGAGCTTTCTTTATGTCGCTACAAAGATAAAGATATCGTGTGTTAAATATATAAATATAATCCATTTATAAGTTTAAGTTTTTTCAAGTTACATACGTATATAGTATATAATAATTATCCTTACTTTATGTCACCACCATAAGTAGGTATCATGCTCTGCAAGTCTGTAAGATATCCTTTTGGATCAACCACGGTTTGACCTTCCACAGAATCGGATACCTGATTCAGCTTGACGTTCATCAATGTGTTTCTGGCTTGTCCGATCTTTCTTAGATCAAGATCTCCCGTGGGAGTCAACATACCGGGTGTTGCCACACCTGGCATCATAGAGGCCAAACCGCTAGTTGGATCAATACTGGTGGACGTCTCGCCTCCTAAATTTCTCGCCAGTACAGAATCTGGTAACGGGGTGAATTTCTCTGCTCTTGGATTACGCTGTTTACGATTTCTGGCATCTCCCACCTCAGGAACGTTTTTCCATTCGTCCTCGGTTACGTTAACCAATTCTCTTTTCAGATCTGAGAATTGCTGTTGAATCTTGGGACGTTCCTGACGATAGCGCTCCAACTCCTCCCTGAGGCGCTTCTCTCTGTATTCCTTACGTTTTTCATCCATTCGTTTGTCAATAGCTTCATAAATCGCATCTGCTTCTTCGTCATCTTTATCATAAGGATCCTAGCAGGAAGATGAGAACGTTATTATTCATTATCCGTAATTATTATCGAAGACAGCTGTACTTACCTTACTGAAAAGAGAACCTCCATATCCTGAAAATTCATCATAATTTGAATCGTTCAAATCCTCTTCATCTTCCTCCTCCTCCTCCTTCTTTTTCGCACGTTTCGTAGGTGGAGCGTGTCTGTCATCTCTATATTCAGAAGAAAAATTATTACGTACAATAAAAATCTGTAAGTCTGGCATTTCCTTATTTGTACAAAAATTGTAGTTTAATAATTACGAAACGTCATTGGCATCTCGAGCAGGACCAATATCAGACCGTGTTGTAAATCCTGTTGCTCTGGTGAGTAGAAAAAGTGAGGTTAATTACACATAACACGATCGTTAACTCATTGTAGTTGATATTAGAGACAAATAATTGCAAATGCTATATATTGGGTCAAAACTTACCCTCTACCAACACCGGCAACATATCCCAAGGGTGCAGGTACACCTAAAAAATGCTTTTTATTTCGCGTATTCAGCGAAACCGAGGGAACCGCCATCTTGACGTTATTGATTCTCTATTTCTCTCTCTCTCTCTCTCTCTCTCTCTGTTTAATTCCGTTCCTTATTCCGTTCGATGGCACATGGGTCCGGTCCTTATTCCCTGTTCCTGTTGCCTATTGTAAGAATGTCCGAATCGTCCGAATAATTCGGAGAGTCATGACTCTTGGGTAATAAGTAATATGAATGAACTTTCGTATAAAGTCTTTCGGAACGAACGTGAACGAACGTAACTGGCTACTTACTGGCGAAGCTCTTCGACTGGACTCAACACTCCTCAAGCAAGACTAGGGGTCCGTTCCGTTTCGCGCATTGAGCGCATGCGCATAAACTGCATGGACAACGGACAACCGTTCCGTTTCAGGTAATGCGCGCATTAGTGGCGCATAGGATTCCCTAGAATCCCCCCACCTCTAACGCATCAAGGGCGCATCGGCTACTACAACTCGGATTTGAAGCAGTTAATGCGCGCATGCGCAGATGCGTATTTACCTCTAATAACATAACCTTTTACTCAAGAAGAAGAAGTATCACAGAACACGATGGAGGAATTAGTCGAATTTCCCGTGTTAGTGGATGACGAATCTAATAAAAACAAATAATTTTGTAAAAATTAATTTTATAAAAACTTCATTAATTTTTGAAAAATAAGAACATGAAATAAATAAAAAAATTGGTTAAGTAATTAATTATTTTGATTAAGTAATTATGTTAATTAAATATTTACAAAATTAATTGTTTTTATTATATTTTAATAATGGTGTTTTGGAATAATCGGAGTAAAAAAATTAATTAATTTATGTTCTCATTTTTTAAATACAAAAATATAATTATATAATTATTACTCAACCAAAAATGTTCTTTAAATATTGTTTTCGAATATCCAGGAATAACTCGTTCTACATAATCTGTTAATTTTTCCACAAAAACCATCTCTCCACGTGTTTCGTTAACCATTAATACTGTATATAATATTTCCATTTCTGAATTAAACAGAATATCTTCATCTTTATCTTCATTTTCACTATCACTAGATTCACTACTGCTAATTTCATTGTCATTCGAATTTATTAGTAACAATGAGGTTATTGTTGATAGAGCGTCGTTCATGGTAGCGTCATCCATTTTCAACTTTACATCAAACGCATCAAGAGCTGTTCCGTTTCCAAGAGCGCATATGCGCATCAGCGAAACGGAACGATATCAATGCGCGCAGCGCTTTGGCTGCGATCCATGCGCTCACTGCGCGAAACGGAACGGACCCTAGACAAGCGCCTCGCGCTCCAAGATCCCTAGTTACTGGGCGCCTGTTGCGCCCTCCGGGCGACCACGCGCCACCTACATGCATTGCGTTGCGACACTAGCGCGGCCTTACGCCATGAACCAAATACTTCTAGATTTACACTATAGACTATAGGCCTGTTCATTTTCGCTGCACTTCTGAACTAGTGCAATAAGTTAAGCGGGGAGCACACACTTCTGCACAACGCATAATACGTAAAGGTCTATCCAGACAAACTTGCATAGATGCACAACCATATGCATAAAGAAACGGATTGGTCTATTTCTTTATGCACATGCATATGGACCAATCAATTCTCTTATGCTTATGTTTATGCGCTATGCAAGTTTGTCTGGATTGACCTTTAGCATAAGAAAATTGATTGGTCTATACACATGTGCATAAGAAAATAGACCAATCAAATTTCTTATGCTTACGCATTATGCGTTATGCAGAAGTGTGTGCTCTCCGCTTTAACTTATAGCGTTTTTTCTTGGCTGCACTATCGCCTACTAGTGCAACACTATAGTGCAACACTAGTGCAACACTATTGGGTAGTGCAGGGCAGTGCAGGGCGGTAGTGCAGCCAAGAAAAAACGCTATTATTGGGTGCGTTCAGCCGATACTCCGCTAGCCTAGCAATCGTGAGCAGTCGCTCGTTTTCGCTCGTTTCCTCTCTTTTGACCCAATGGATTAAAAGGAGAGGAAACGAGCGAAAACGAGCGACTGCTTACGATTGCTAGGCTAGCGGAGTATCGGCTGAACGCACCCAATAATAACGTTTTTTCTTGGCTGCACTACCGCCCTGCACTGCCCTG